CTGTTGCTGATCTTTTCTGGCCGGCCATCTGATCTTGAGTATTGAGCGAAGACAACTGTTAATGAAGGTCTGTAGTTTGTTTGAGATGCTCTTCAGGACGTGTCATGTCTCTGATCCATAAAGTAGCACTGACTTCACATTGGAGTTGAAAATCCGGATCTCATTTTTCATGCTGAGTGCTGTTGACCTCCACACAGATTTGAGAGTAATGAAAGCTTGTCTTGCTTTTCCGATTCTGGCTTTGATATCCTCGTTAGTTCCGCCACCTGTAGTTGAAACGATCCTTCCCAAGTAGGCAGGTAAAGGAGGTTGCTTTTTTCAAATTTCTCCCATTCCTGATGATTGTTGTCTGTTGCTTTTGGCCAGGAATCTTCATCACCTACGTCTGTTTTCTCTGTGTTCACCTGAAGTCATTTAATAAATAATAATAAATAACTATTTTACAATTGTATCTTAATCCTGTGCAATTTTTGTGTTTCTAAGGCTCTTGTAATTTATATTCACACCTCCTAACTTTCATATCACTAAAAGCCGACAACCACTCATTCGTAGCATCTATATCCAGACACAATCAGAACATCTGTCTCGACATTCTTACGACTTTCTCATCAGTACTCAATGAAGGAATTAGGGATTGGTTGGATCCCGCGATAACACGTGTAACGTATCCATCCACATTCGTTAAAAGAGTCCGCGTCATATCTATCTATCTATCTATCTGATTAATACATGTTGACAGAATTAATGAAAGGTAATTTTAGACATTGACTGTGCTTACCTCCATAGAGATTTGCAGCCGGCGGTGGATAGGAAGGCATTTGCTGTGGAGGAACATTGGGTGGTAATGCTGCCGGTGCCGCCGCCTGATTCATACCATAAGGAGGTCGTTGTAGCATGAATTGTTGAGGGATTGGATTCACTGGTACATTATTCTGTACCATATTACCACCACCAACAGAATAATTTTCTGTTTGTGGATTTGCATAAATACCAGTTGCCACAGATTGTGTGTCGGATGGAGGCATCATCATGGTTCCACCATTCGATTCAGAAGGCATATTCGATCCGTTCTGGGGAAAAATATGCATACAAAATAACATATATAATCAAATAATCGAGAAGATTTGTACAGCTCAATTGAATGCGTTTGATTTAGTTGTGTTCTCTACGGACCTAGATGATTTAATTGAGAAGTTTTCGTCGTCCAACCCCCCCCCTCCGCAATTAATATGACCTGTTGCACAAAAGGTGGTTCTCTTGTGACCCAAGTGGTCTAGTGGATAACGCTTTGGTGTTGAATTAAATTTCTTCTAATTACTCACAAATAGAAGAAAAAACACTTTATCGAATGTTAGTCAGCAGGTATTTGATTACTCACTGGTTTGATCACAGACTAACTTTAGTTAGAGAACCATAGAAAAAGTGGATAATACTGCTAGACAGCTGTTTCACCTTAATTCTGCACTCTTCATCGGCAAACACAGCCCAAAACTTCGGATCAAGGATCTTCTAGTTACAAGGCGAACTTGTAGACTATTCCGCTAATGAGATGTTATTCAACGGCCTATGAATTAAGACTACTGCCAGTCTTCACAACCAATTAGATCTCTGTAAAGCAACATTTGACCATTAATCTGATACACGCTAGTGACTGGCTCCGCACAGGAAGTTACCTGGGCCTCTAGCGAGAAGTCGTAACCAACAGGGTCACCAAATCGCCTATGACATTGGCTGGCGATTGCGCTACATACCTCATAAATGGACAGAAGTTGGAATTCATGGGTCCCAGTAGCTGAATGGTCTACGAGGTCGCTGTGTACCCACAAGGTCTCGGATTCGAAGTCCAGAAGATGCGTACCGATGAAGAGTACGGAACTAGGATGAAACTGCGTCTCCAGTACACCCCTGTTTTCAGTGGTTGAAACAAATCAAATTCTTGGAAAAACAAACTTTTGAAAATTAATTCTATCGGTGAACTTTGCAATGTGGTTATCAATTGGCGTCAATGATAATTGGCTAGCACGATAATGCACCTTGAATGGATTTTCGATAGTTGGAGGAGATATCACAGCAGGAAACCTTGTTTAGTCTGATCTAGATTTGAAGCTTCTGGTTACTCTCACATAAGCAAGGCGTTCTGTCTGCAAGTTAGAAGTAATTGATTTATCCTTTGAGCTATGAACTCGTGTCTCTATTATGCATTTCTTCCACTTTCTTCTCTTGCTTTGTGTGCTACATGGAGTGTGGAGACTTGAACTGCCGCACATATGTGCAAAGTTCTATGTCAAAAACAGAGAGACAGAGATGAACTCGTGTCACTCCGTAGTAACTGCTATCTGCCTGTACAACTGTAAAATGGGATACTATATTAGTTTGTTTATTAGATGTATCATGCAGTCAATGAAACAGTATTATTACTTACTGGATGACGAAGCTCAGAACACAATTTATTGCTGTTCATAATTATATCATCAATTATAATCACACGACTTCAAAACTTGAGTTTTATAGTTTTCTTTGTTGTCTCCTATTTATCGTCGCAGGCGTGGTAGTAGAATTTTCCAGATATCTGAGTGGACAGGTGTTGGATCGATAAACAAGACAGGAATAAAAGTGACTGGCATTCAAACTGCCCACAAACTCAGCTAGAAACAAGCTTTGTCGGTTAGAGCGTCAAATCTGTGAAGCCTTTAAAAAAAACAATTTAGTTTATCTAATATCCTGCCTGCAATGATTGTTGGGTCAAATATATAGGTCAAACTAAGAGAACAGGTGCAGTCAGCCAACACCCAACCATACAGCATAGGATGGGATAAGATGACAGTTTTAAAATCTAATGTAACAGGGTGGCGAGTGGGGAAGATTGATAACGGAAGCTTAGTTATCGATCAACTGACAGGGAATACATGTAATAGGAATGATTCAACACCTGTTCACTCAGATATCTGGAAAATTCTACTACAACGCCTGCGACGACAAATAGGAGACAACAAAGAAAACTATAAAACTCAAGTTTTGAAGTCATGTGATTATAATTGATGATATGATTATGAACGCCAATAAATTGTGTTCTCAACTTCGTCATCCAGTAAATAATAACACTGTTTCCCTCACTGCGTGATATATACCTAATAAACAAAGTAATATGGAATTACTCCCACAGTAGTGCCCAAGTTTTACACAAATATATTGTATAATGGGATACATCGATTAATGGCTTAGGGGGGCAGTACTCAAAATTGTGCCTAGTAAAGTAACACACTACGCACACACTCACATACAAACATGAAGACTAACAACTTCATTATAACAACACTATTCATTTCAAAACATACCATAGGGAGAGTATTCGAAGAATTGACTACATAATTATTAGGAGGTATGCCTACAGGTTGTGAATATGGAAACATGTTGGCAGAATTCGGCATATACATTACTGGGGGCGGTGGCGGTTTCATCATCCCAGTAGCAGGAGTATTAGCAGTAGCATAATAGGCATTTGCAGTAGAAGCATTCTGATGTGACATAATGTCATGATACAACTGAAAAGCATCCACTAGACGTTGATTCAATTCAGTAAGCATTATCATCTGTTTATCGATTAATTTCAATTCTGGATCAACAAGCGGCAGCATTGCTGTACACTCTGCTTCAAGTTGTTTCAACTCTGGTGGATCTTGGAGAAATTCTCCAGTTGGATCAACAGTTGTAATCAGTCGTAGGCATTCATCGATTTTTCGTTCATCCAACTGTTGAGGAAGAATTTTCGTTGACTTTTGATGATTCGCATCACTGGAGGTTGACTGACTAACCTTCTTATCATCATCATCGTTATCTGTGTCTGATAGTTGTTTTACAAATTGTGCTGGAAACAGGCCTTCCCCACGATGATTACTGCCAAGCCACCAATTTTCATCAGAATCATCTAAGAGGAGGATTAGTTCACCAGCTTTAAAGGTTAATTCATTGTCTTCAGCTGCTTCAAAATCATACAGAGCTTTGACATAACGTTTAGAATTACGCGTCACTGTCTTAGGAGCAGTAGGTGATGTTAAGTAACTTGAAGAGGATCCAGCAGCGGTAGCGCCACCAGCAGCACTAGCAATGTTGAATGAAAGTTGAGCACGTGTTGGATACAAACTTGACTTTTCATTTGATGAACTACTGGCGACAGGTGGATTGTTTGAACGCGAGACTGTAGAAGCGCCGGTAGTCTCTTTTAATGACAAAGCGATTGCTATACAAAATAGAAATGAGAAAACAGAAAGATAGATGGATAGATAGATAAAGAGATGAAGTGACATTTCGGTGAAGTTAGGCTTTAAGCACCCCTAACTACCGTCTGTCTGTCTGTTATCCACATAGATCTTTCCACCGATGTACAGCAGTTCAAGTCACCACGCTCCCTCCATGTAACACACAAAGCAAGAGAAGAAATGCATAGTAGAGACAGTAAACAGAGGTGTGAGACAAAGGAAGAATAGTAACGAAGAACAAAACAGTTTCATTGGAAATCATAAGTCACAAGGAGTGCATGCATCTGCACCAGCCATTGAGAACGACGATTTTGAGCCATATCACCAATTGTTTCCAACCATAGATTTTTACCGTCCCGAGGACCCCAGCCTGGAAGTCTACATCTTCCTACGTGACTAGCTTAAACTAACTGTTGTGGATTCCAGTGACTGATGCCAAGTTTTTGTTTGACCGCCGCTAGCTTTTTTCCAGCCTGACCCTATATCCGCTAACATTGCTCGTCGAGGGAGGCGATGGCTTGGCATACGTAACACATGTCCTAACCATCTCAGTCTTTGTAACTTCACGACTTCGTCGATTGATTTCCCCTGTTTACCTAGAACTCGACGCCCAACCTCAATATTGGTCACCTTATTATACCACTTCACACGGGAGATAGAACGCAAGCACCTATGATCAAAGACAGCTAATCTTTTCATGTCTTCCACTCTCAATGGCCAGCTCTCGCTCACAGCCTTATAGGAGGATGGAGCGGACTGATGAGCAGTACACCCACCCTTTGGTCGATAGCGAATGACCTCGAACGCACTCACCAATCACATGAAAAAAGCAGTTTTTGGGTATGGAATACATACATATTTATGAGAAAAAAATGCATAAAGTCTGTATAAAAGTGTTACAGAGGATACCTTTCTCTCACATGTGATAAAAACACCAAGTTTAGCATAGGAGTATCAATGGAAAAGTTACGTCACATCCTATAAGTATATTCATTCATCTAAATGACTATAAATGACATACTTTTGTGATCTATTAGTGGCTCTAATCCGGTTGTTTAATCTCCCCCCCCCCCGCAAAGACTTCCATAGAATTGATGTGTTGTTTGTCCCTGTAATGGGATCCACAAAATCATTAGAATGGTTCACTCTGTGATGAATAAATATATATCCAAGGGATGACAAAAAGTTATAAATATTCCACTCATCGCTGTGTATTATAGATCCTTGATTCACCCATCAGTCGAGAGTGATAATAGGTATTAAAGTAATTGATTTTCTATCTGGTGTCCTCTCCACGAATCCTTTCTGCGGGGGGGGGGAGTTGTCGTATAAACCAATCACCCAAATATTGTTTGATCCTTCGCGACGACAGTTATACTTTTTGCTTTAATACAACAGTTCCGTCAACGTGTACAACGACACCTTCCCCTCCTAATAGCGAAGCAAAGCCCCTCCATTTTCCAGGATATAATGGCTCTGCAGGGTTAGTGTCACTGAATTATTTTCACTTTCAACAGCTACATTTCTCATAGGCCTGTTTTAAAACCCAGTAATTACAAACACACAGAATCTGGATTAAAGAAAGATGGGATCTGGCAAAAAAAAGTCTCTACGAAATATTACAGCCATTAGCTTCCCTTTCCTTACACTACCCCGCGTCTCAAACAACAAATTGCACAGCGATGCACATGAGACAGATTAAGAGACCTGCTGAAGCTTTTTTTTTACAGTCATCACACCTACACATGAACAAATCCTTTCTTTTCCAATCAACCCCACATCTAAGCGATAGGAGAAAACTTGATTTCTACCAAATTGCGAACGCAACTGCGTTAGACCAGGTATTTAATTCGAATCAAGCGGAATAGAGGCTTGAAGTCATGTGTATGAAACTCATTGGACCAGAGTCAAGGTCGATGGTGTGTGTGTGTGTGGTTGCACTCCATTGGTGGTAGTTAGTGGTGCTTAAAGATGAACTTGGCCGTTTCATGATGTACACACACTGAATTCAAAAAATATCCTCTAATTAATGATCAAATCGTTCAAAGATAATAAGAGAGCAGGGGACGCAGATGATATACTGATCATTGTCGTTGAAAATACTCATCTAAACGAAAGCCTGGAAATTTTGTTAACAACATTCATCAATCCGTGGAATTGAAGTCGAATTCGATAGGTAAAGCATCTTTCCGAGATGTCCAGCTTTGAATAATGATGAGATGGAAGTTTGCGAAGATGACAAACTTTCATAGTTTAATCTCAATAAGTAGGAAAAGAAATTTCATAGTCTGTCCTTGACATTCCCAGTGGAGCATACGGGGGCTTAAAGCTACAGGCTGTGGTGGTGATTATTTCTACAGGATGGGGTCGTCGCTAGCCAGCCGTATGCCCAACCTTTCCTCTTTAAACCAGCTTTATTACTGGCTTAGAGAGGCAAAAAAGTGCGTCTATGGCCGGGGATCGAACGCCAGACCATGTGCATAGTCGGCGGGCGTCTTAACCGCTGTGCCACCACCAACACATGCATATATGTACTGAAAAATATGTATTGAACAAGAAAATTAGAATCTTTGAAAAACACTGTAATCAAACTCCCATTATCAATAAACATCTAATGAGAAAGACAGCTGATAGTCAGAGAGACCTAAGCGTGCCGAAGAAACAACTCATTGTAAATCTGAAATTCAAGACAGATATACAATTAGTAGAGGGGTCGTCTCCGAAACCGGTCTCTATCAACAACAATTCCAAGAAATTTTTTTTACTTACTGAATCTCTACGCGCCTGACCTTCATCGCATATGCTCTTACTCCTATAGAGCTAAGTACATACATATAGGCTGTACCAGCAGCAGCAGGACGCTGTCTAAACGCACCTATGAACACGTACGTGCCAGTATGGTTATCAAAAAAGCAGAACACAGAACAGTTGACTTCTGGAGTAAAATTATTAATTCTGGTCACACGCGGCATCTGCAGAGAATTCCTTTAACGTTATAGATAGACTAAGATTAAGCCGTTATCACAAAAGAATTTCGCTTGCATTTTCTTCATGTACATTCGAAGCTTTAGCATCAATTAAAGTAAGGTAAGAAAGACCTGAGCTCTGGATTCACAAAAAACAAAACGTTTTATCCAGCCACTTTTACACTTATGACTGACTGAAAGGCTTCACATGTGCTTTCGGAAGTGGGTGAGCGATTGTTACCTCCCGGCTGTCCACAATGTGGAAGTTGATTCAGTCTTCGGGTACCTCAAAAACACAAAGAGGGTTAGTGTTGCGTGACCGCAGAGTCCAGGGAACAACTGCTTGAGCCCGACCAGTCACACATGGTCTGCATGAATTGGTTTCTTGGATCGGTTCCGTACTAGTAAACTTACTGCCGCTTACAGGCCACCGTAGGGTGAGTCGGGATGTACAATTTTTAGGGTCGACTTTTTCTAACCCCCTCCCTCCAAAGTGGAGAGAGACAGCATAGCTGGCTAGCTGGCATGCTTGTCATCTGAGGGGAACACCTCACTGTTGTTAGATCCCTGTTCCCCAGCATTACGACTTCGCCCAAAGACCTTCAGCATAGTGTAAGAAAAAGATTTTACACTATGTTGGTAACTGCTTTTAGTCTAATCGCTATCCTAGCAACCTTCCTGGCATGTTAGGACCTCCAGGAACAGTAGTCCCAGCCAGTATAGCTTGTTGGGTCATTGCGATATGCAATCCCGGCGACCATCACGTCAAGGTAGCAGTTATCGAACGGGGCTTTTACTACTACCTTAGTCTTAGTATTCATTTTCATTTCCTGAATAGCTGTTTATTATACTCTCTGTAATATTTACTGATGATAACCCCGTTTCGAGGACAATTTATCACTACTCATAATCATATGAAGGCGCTACTCACACAAGTGGTGGCTGAACGTGTTGATCACTTCATTTACTTATTTGGGTGGGAAGTTGCATCAGCCAATACCAGAGGGTTGACTGCTGACGAAATCTTAGCACAGATACAGAAGGCTGCTTTGGCACATGTCAACAACGTACGCCATCTCTGGCTTAATAGATGTGATGTCGGGCTGGCTGTCAACCATAAGGCATGTGTACTGCTCAGCAAATCGCTCTGTCCTCCTTTATGGTTGTGAGTGAGACATGGCTGTTGAAAGTGGAAGACATGAAAAGCCTGGCTACTTGTCTTTGACCTTAGATGTTTGCGTTCTATTTCCCGTCTTAAGTGGTCAAGTCAAGGAGGGGAAATTAATAGACGAAGTTGCGAAGTTACACCGATTGAGAGAGGTGGTTAGCACATGTCTTACGCATGCATCCCTAGCCATCGATCGCCTTCCTCAACAACGGGTAATGTTAACTGACATACGATGGATCACGTTGGAAAAGACCCAATGGTGGACAGACTCAAACATGGCGGGATGAGTCAATGAAATCCACAATAGTTAGTTTCAACCAGCCATGAATGGTGGTGGAGATTTCCTGACTGGCTGGTTGGCGTCCTCGGGACGGTGGTAAAAACCAATGAAGGCCGGCGACCATTGATGACAGGGCTCAAAATCGTTGTCAATGGTGCAGACACATTCACCTTTTGTGATCTCTCATATACCAAATTAACTCCATTGTTCCTCTGTGTTACTATTCCTTTCTCCCTCACATTTCTGCTCATTGTCGTCAGTGAACATGACACACACCAGGACTTACAATGAAACCCGTCTAGGAAACGATAGATTGGGTGTCCAAGAGTGGAGAATGGAGAAGCTGATAAGAGGAAGAAATGAAAACTTGTGGGCAGTTGTGGCTGGCCAGCTGGCACAGAATGGTGTAGAATAGAATGGGGATGTGTACACAGCTTGGAACGTAAGAAATCAATAATAATAATAATAATGATAATCATATATGCCATGCTTCACTGTGCCTAAACTAAAGTGATATTGCACCTATAGCATACAAAAGCCTACAGAGTATGTGAATACATGCAATACACATGTCAAAGTTTTGTGTAACGAGATAGTGTAGTGTTAAGAAAAATGTGTTCACGTAGTAAAGCTTACCTTCAGCTAGATCCTTTTCTTCTTTCGCCTGTAACTGAGCCACAAGTTGACGTGATTGACCAAGTTTAGTTAACTAAAAAATTTAGAATACAGTGCACACAAATAAAGACAAAACAGGAAAGAATAATGGGAGATCACAAGGATGTATGAATGTATTTGTGCCCTGTGAGGAGTTTGAATCATATCACCAATAGTCTCCAACCCTCATTGGTTCTTAATAGGCCGGCGAGCACCACAATGCGGCGAGTCTACGCCCTTCCCATAACTTGGCTGAAAATAACCATAAAAGACTTCATAGATTGATGTCACAGTTCGGCTTGATTACCTCTTACTCTTTTTTCCAAATTAATTAATTCCACCCTTATATTAAGTTTACAATGAAGTATGAAAAAGAAGAGAAGTTCCATTTCCTGGACTTGGGTATCCAACGCGATAAAGACGGCAAAATCATAAGATATATACACAGAAAAGAGACCTGGAGGGCGGTTTATCTTAACTTCAAAAGCTTCTGCCCTATTTTTTTCAAAGAGGGATTGGTGAGAACATTATTCGATCGTGTGAGGAAACTGTGTTCAGAAGAAAAGATTGAGGAAGAGCTGTGCATTGTGGAGAAATGCCTACGCGACAACGGTTACCCACAAAAGTCCATCGACAAGTATGAGAGACGTCATGTTGAAAAAGTGAAAAGCAGCACAGTAGATAAAAAGCCAATCTTTCTGCAGCTTGCATTCAAAGAATAAGATGCAGACTGAACGCTGCCATGAAAAAAACATATCCAGCCGCCAAGCTTGTATGTGTTTATCAAACAACTAGTTGTTTGAGACAATCACAAGTGGACAAATACCCACCTCATGTTACCTCCAACTGTGTCTGCCAATCTACACGTACGTGCCAAAGCACATACATTGGAAGAACTGAGAGAAGGGTTAGTGTCCACATCTATGAACACATACCAAAGAACTTGAGACTGAAAGGTCCGCAAGCATTAAACAGTGCTATTGCTCGTCATCTATTGGACACTGGTCATATTGTAGATTTTTTTTTTTCGTTTAAAATAATCAACAAGCAAAAGAAACCTAGCTTGTTACGCTTTGCTGAAGCAATTGCCATCAAACGACTTAAACCAAATCTATGTATGCAGAAAGAGACAATGGTGAATCTTGCCCTGCCCTGGTGATAACAAAAATATACACAACTTTCATGAGTCACCTTTCTCATGTTTAGAAAACTCTACTCTCTCATCTAAACATGACTCAACCTACCTTGTTTCTTTTCTTTCCTTTTTTCTATTGGCTATTAGATAAGATGTTTTCTTTGGTTACGTAATCCACTTTTTTGTTATGCTCTTTCTAGCTAAACCTTGTTTCTTTTTATATATATATACGCAACCCTGTTTTTTGTTTCCAAGCCTAATTGTCTAATTATTCTATAAATAGTCAGTGTTTGTAACTCCTAATCAGTTAAATCATTCCGGACTAATGTTACTTTTACTTCCTACCAATTACTCCTTATGATCGTGGAAAAGTATGTTCATATCTTTAATGTAATTCATATTTTTTAACGTTCATGTTTTAACCAGTTGAGAAGAATCCTCGAAATAATAATAAAAGATGAGCTCATATTATCCTGGTACAATTGTTGTTCTTGCTTTGTTCAAGTTTATTAATGGGAAGAATTGCATGAAAATCTATGTTAGTTAACAGATGGCTTGTCATGGAAAGCAGTGGGGCTTAGCATACAGAACACGTGTCATTTAGCCATTAAAAGAGAAACATCTGTTGTTGGCTAACGGCTGGATGGGAACTACTCTTAAACAGAAGAAAGAGCTAATTTAAAGATACTAGAGGAATTTTGAAGTAGTTGTGTTCTCTTAGCTGGGTAGTTTACTTGAGCTTTCACTGTCCTACTAGACTACATCTTCTTTCAGCGCATACACTTTAATTCCACGAAGTGAACTATTGGACTTCTCTACCAGTTTATAAGTCACCTCCCTTGGAGGGTGACCTTGAAAGTGATTGGTTGTTTTCATGTGTATTTGCACAACCTCTAGGCTACTTTTAATGGTAGTGACCGTTACCTCGACATAAACTTCGACCAGGGGAGATGACGAATAAACACATGGAGAAATCTACAAACACACTTCATCGAATTCAAGTATATGCGAAAACAACAATGGTTTGCGAGGAAGAGTATGGCACCATCAATGTTTATTTTGTTGACTTCTCATCAGCTGATTAGCTGCTTACAGTCTAAATAAATTATGAGGTTTATGTACAGAAAAGTTTTAACATACTTGCAAATTTTACATGTTGTCAGTTGACAGAAAGTTCCACAATTGGTGAACAGTGCTCAGAAAATTCCACTTACATAGTTTTTTTTTTACACAGGCAGTTCAAGTTTAAACAACAGAAATGTATGCATACAATGGTAAAGGAGATAGTTACGTAATAAAGACGAGAGGTGAGTAAGAAGATGAATACCTAATAAATTAATTAGGTAACGATGTTCTGAGTTCAACTCAACAAGAGACAAGCGAAATTACAGATTATGAAAAAAATGGGGGCAAGGTTGAAGACAAAGATTACGTAATCAGATGAGAGAATAGAGACATTCAGTTACCAGTCAGGGCGAGGAAAGACGAATAACTGCTTCTTCTTTCTGAACACATGAATCTGGTTTGAAGCGTTCGATAGAAATTGCTTCAGCAAACTCGAGAATGAAGCTCCTTTGTCGATTGATAATTTTAAAGGATTTCTCGATTTCTACCTGATGACCCGTGTCGAGGAGATGCCTGGCGATGGCATCATTTAAAGCATTTGTTTCTTTTAGACGTAAGCTTTTTGGTACATGTTCAGAAAATCGTAGATATGCCCTCCTTTCTGTCCTTCCAATATAACTGCTCTCAAACATAATTGTAAATTTTTATATACAGTTGGAGTTAACATGAGAAGGATATCTATCGATTTTTGACTGCACCAAAGAGCAAGTTATTCGATAGACGGGAACGAGCTTAGCTGCAGGATAGGCTATGACTAGCGATGTACTCAGCCTTCTGTTGATCATCGCTGCAATGTTTCCACCTTTATAATCAAACTGAAGGTAGATTGGCTTTTTTCCCACTGTAATTTGTTTTACATTTGTGACTTCAGATCGTCCATACTTGTTGATGATGTTTTGAGGGTACCCACTGCTCTTTTCAATGTCTTTTCAAGAAACTCAAATTCTTCCTCTTATTTCTCTATAGAACATATTCTCCTCGCTCTATAGTACAGAGTCTTGACTAGACCACATTTAAAGCTATTTGGAAAAAAGCTATTAAAATGTGAGTATTGTCCTTCCTATGTGGGCTTTCGATAAATTGACTTTTGAAGACTACCGTCTTCTAGGCGTTCCATGGCAATGTCGACGAAGTGAAACTTTCCGTCACTTCCATGTTCCATGGTATACTCAATATTGGTGTGTGCATCATTGAATAATCTGAGTAAGTGTGAAGCATGACTTTCATTGTTGCACTCTAGAAATGTGTCATCAGCATATCGACAGTAGGAAGTTGTTTCATCGATTGCCTGCTTCAACTTTGTTCTTTCGAAGTAGGACATGAATATATCTGCTAAAAAAAGGTTAGGTGGACTGCCCATAGATACACAATCACCTTGGTGGTAAAGAGTGCTGTCAAATAAGAATTGCACATTCGTGGTGCATATAAGCAGTAAGGGTTTGAATTCCCTAGACAGCTACACCCGGAATACCTGCCAAGATAGTATCCATCAGTTGTTGGAAAATAGCTGGGGCAGTTTTAACTCCGAAAGGTAATCTGTTGTATTGGAACAAACCGCGATGTATATTAATGGTAAGGAGTTCTCGGCATTCTGGGGCTACTTCAACTTGTAGATATGCGTCAGCAAGATCCAGTTTTGCAAAATAAGATCCACCATTTAAAACAGTGAATAAATCATCCGGCGTAGGTAAAGAAGGATAGTGGTGCTGTTCTAATGCAGCATTCAACCAGTAGAGAATCAGCACAAATACGTAGGGACCCATTCGCTTTCTTGACAACGACGATGGGTGCTGCCCATGTCGAGTACGTGACTGGTGTTAATACGCCTTGTTGTTGCAGTCTCTCCAATTCTTCGTCAACTTTTGGTACAGATGCATATGGGACTGGCCTCTTTGGGCGAAAAACCGGTTTTGTGTCTGGTAATACTCGGAAGGTAGCTTGCAGCGAGGTACAGTGACCTAATCCGGGTTGAAAAACAGGTGCAAATAGTTTGCATAAATCAGAAAAGGAGTTGGCTGAATTTTTATCCTTGTTAACTGCGTTGCATACAGAACTAAGTGGGACATCAGCCAGATGTAAACGATCGAACCAATCAAGTCCTAAAAGATTTAAATCACTCTTGGTGACGTAACAAATTCCTGTGAATTTGATATCGCGGAAGGAAACAGAACATTCGAGTTCACCAATTAGTTTGAGCCGCCCACCACAGGCGCTGACAGCAGTCTGAGAAGTATTTGCGATTGGTGGTCTGCCAATATTATTCCAAAGTTTCTCTGGTATAACAGTAATATCAGAGGCGGTATCTAGCTGCAGACGTGCACCATGACCATTCATCTGAAGGTCAAGATATTTCCGCATACATGGAGTTATGACTTGACAGGTTGCGAGTAGACTCATTGACATTTTTGGGGATTTAGGACCGACAGTTGATCGAGCTTTCACTGGATTATGGTATCTGGGTTTACGTGACTGACAAAAACCATCTTTATTACCGATGATTTTGCACTTGCTGCAACGATGATTTTTGTATGGACAGGACTTTACAAAATGCCACGCGCCACAATGCCAGCATGGTGATGGTGGGGTCTACTTTGGGGTATTTTGTGAAGTTGGACGAGTATGTGTAGGCGTTTGAATTCCGACTCTAGGAGTGGGAGAAGATCAGACTGCTGACAAATGATCTCAATAGTTTCGTTGATTGGAATCATTGTGAACATGAGGTTACATCAAATGACACCATGAACTTATTTAAAACGTTAATGTGGCCCACACTTTCAGAGAAATGAAATGAGTCT